AATGTAATTATTAAGTCTTATAATAATAATAATTATATTTATTTTTACTTACGTTTATCTGTATTAGAAATTTGTATAATACATATTTAAATATAATTATATTTAATGATTATCCGAGAACCTATATTTTATTTAAATTAATATTCAGTACTTTAATATTAAGTCGATTAAGTTGAAGATTAAAAAAATGTAATATCTTATTTAATATTTTAATAATATTATAATTATAATTATTAACAAAGTTATTTATACAACTATATTAAGGGAAGTGTAGGGCAAAGCCCCCACGGGTCTGTTTTTTGAATTTGACCTGGTGAATGGGTGGTATTTGCCATTCAGTATGCTACCCTTATTTATTTTTGAGAGTGTGCTACTGTATGTGTGCGACACATTTTTAAGCCATAAAGTTGGATTGCGTTTATAATAAAAGAATGCTTATACATAATTTTAATAAATTAAATCGTATCATTTTTCGTTGTCGAGAATGTATACGAAATTGAAATATTAATCAGGCTTACCTAATCAATACGTGCAATAGAGTATTAACGAGTGTTTTCGAACAACTCGAACCGAGTGCACTTTTTACGGTGTATATCAGATTGTAATACGAGTACAGAATAACACTGTAAATAAATCGATACCTAACAGGAAGTCATATCTCGACAAAATGACTACTTCCGTTTTTATAATAACCACATGAGTGTGGTATGACTAAGTTCGTTGTACCGGCTAATGTACGGCCTAAAAAACGACTAACCCTCATTAAAAAAAAAATAAATAAAATAAAATAAAAAAAAAAACCGTTTGTAATTGCCATTTAATGCTAAGTAGTTACAAAGGGATCGTATCGCACAGTGCATTATTATGCACTATATAATACACGAACTATCATAACTTCTCACAACACGATTTATAACACCGTTCGTTCGTTAGGTACCGACTGCATAATACGCGTAATCGCCGTTATTTCGGGAATCGTCCGAATAACGCAATAATATTATATTACCATAATGTACGGACAGATTACTCCAGTATGTCAGCATGTAAATGCACGCGTGGGGATCGCACCCGGTGTTGTTAGAGGTACACGATATGATATAATAATAATAATAACAATAATAGTAATAATAATAATAATAATAGTAATAACAATAATAATAATAATAATAATAATAATAATAATAATATAGGGTGCCTAGCCGTGAGCGAATGTGTGCGTCTTGTAAATCATAACGTATACGCATTTCATTCATCACCCCCCGTTTATTATTAATATTAAGAGCACTCCTTCGTACGGCCTTTGCACGTGAGCCAACGCGGTGCGGTTCCTTTTACAGGCTCCGAAGGGACTCGAACTAAACTATTGTTTATAGCACGCGTACGGCTCGGAATATTTGTAATAAATAATTAACACGGGAATTCAGAAGCTATAGAACATACATATATATATATATATATATATATATTATAACGGGTCCATTATTTTATAAATAAATTTCTATAAAATAAAAAATTAACCGACTTTTTTTTTAAATACACAAATATTTTTATTTTTTATAATGCCAACACAATTCTTATTGCAGTACAATACTTTTTTACAATATTATGTACATAATTTATACGAGTCTCTAACTTCTCTGCTAAGAGGTACTTACTCAACAATACGATAAGCACTCACGTCCTCAAGGTTTTCCATAGATTCAATTTAAACGTGGTACAGTTGTGCGTGTTGTAATATAAACAGCAACAACGATTAACGGTAACATATCGTCGGATACGCAACATGGAAATTCGCATTAAAATCAATGGATCGTTGTACGCTGACGCTGTAGAAAATATACGAGTAAATCATCGCGGTATGATAATACGACGATGTGCACAATACGTATCGCGGTCGGATTTTGATAACGATTGGGCTAGGTCGTTGCGGTACACTCCGGACGAGCTCACGATTTTAGCGGTCGGACGAGATCGGTTAAACAATTGTTCGTGGTTTCGATGGCGGTTTAAAGCAGAAATCAACAGTGACTTGTATTTCATTTGGTGCACCATATAGTGTACAAATTAGTAACCACCACCACCACCACCCACATAGTTAGAGCAAAACAATGATTGTATGGTATGTTCAACCATCATAAAGTTAAATACCGGGGCGAACCTTCCCATAAAAGTACGCGTTCGGTGCCATTAGAAATCGAAACGATTTACATTTACAAAAAAAAAAAAGCACAAGGGGCATAAGACTCGCGTCGGAGATTATTATTCGAAATGATGCAGTTTTAAAGAATGTTTGAAACGCGCTCTTTTGAATTATTAAGAAATAGACTCCTAAATAACAATCGTAGTTTTCTCTGTGTAAAAGAATATTACGGTAACGAATTTCCACATCCAACCGATAAAACGTGAAAGAAAAATTAAACTAAGAAAATGTTAATTAATATTTGGCTATTGCAACCTGCATTTTTGGCTAACATTCGTGGTCCATTCATTATAACCAACGAATAAACTACAAACTATATGTGAATATGTGTGTGTGTGTGGCTTTATATATAGCAGCAAATTAATCTACTTATATATTTTCAGACTTGGATTAAACTAGTAGAAAAGAAAAAATCTTACTTTCGTATATTATAACTTCGAATGATTTACTCGTGCTCTTTCTGGACACTTTGAACTCGCAATATTATTTGTACCACTCAAAACTTATTCTAATGCATTTGTCCCCCTTCAGACTGAATCACTCATGTGAATATGAACAATAAATAATATATATGTACAATAAACAATTTGAACTTTTAACAAAACTTGGGAGTTTCATAAGTCTAAATATTTTTCAATAATACATATTTTAAAACGTCTATTTGTACATATTTATTTTTATTTCGGTAATCGTATTTAACTACAAAAAAATTTTTTTTATCGATGTTATTAAGGTTTTTACCATAAAAAAAAATCCTATTAAATTTCGTAGCGTAGCCAATTATTATTGTGACTTTTTTTTTTTTTTTTTAAAAAAATATTCTGAAGCAAATGTATACTAAATCGTATTTACTCATCAATGTAGTACATAAATATATATTTTCCATGCACATCTAGATGGTTATTATGAACATTTCAATACCAAAAAACCAATATCGTAGCCACGGGGGGTTCGGAGTTCAATCTCCTTTTACCTCATCATTCGGACAACATATAGACAAATGGTAAATCACCGTTTACAATGCTTCAGTTTTAAATTTAAGCAGCGTGTCGGTGGACTAGTTATCATTAACAGTAACAGTCGTACTTACAGTACGAGCATCGAACTTTGATGCTGTGGATGAATTGGAAATATGGTCATTTGTCGATAATGTGTAAGATTCGAAATTATTAAACGTAATGACAATTCATATTAACGAACCAATCCGAAAACGATTGAATCTTAGAGTTTATTAACTCTATGCAATCTAATCGTTTTTTCGGCATTCAAGTAGAGCTGTTTTTGTTTGGATACGGTCTTCAATCACTTTGTCTACGAACGCATACCACTAAAGTAGTATTATTAATAAATCGTGATTTTTTGACATAAAGATTTTCATATGTTTTAACAGCCCCCCCCCCCAAGTCAGAATCACAGACGACATGGTTTTCAGCATATGTTCAAATTTTTAAATAATTTAAATGAGCGATTTTTATCTCACAGGCTTATAATTTAAATTGTTAACTTTATTCTACCATCATCAAATTGTATAATTGACGAAGAAAAAATTAAGCTGTTAGTTGAAATGTATAACGATGATTTAGATTGCAATGTGTGAACAGCTGTGAGTGAAATTAATATGTGGAAAAAATTTGCAGGAACTCGAGATTTTCCAAAAAAAAAAAAAATGATATTAATATTCTTTAAAAATGTAACACATTCAATTTTCCTTCTACTTTCAAACTTTTACAAATGTATCAACTCTTACGGTTACAGCAACTTCTAGCCGCGAAAGATATTTTTCAACATTAAAAAGAATAAAGACGTGTTTGCGAAACACCACGTGTGAATGTAGACCGTATGGTTTGGCAATGATGAATATACGCAGTGGTTTAATGTTACACCCAGATGATATTCTAAATAGATTTAACGACCATAAAAAAAAGACTAAGGTTAATTCAAAGCGATTAATGAAATATTTTTTGACTAACCGTTTCAAACAAAGTGCCTTCAGAAAAACTATAAATATGTTTACGTGTAGTGGTTGAATAAACCTCAAACCTAAGCTTCCTTTGGAAAATCCTGTCTACGTCACTGCGCAGAACTTTAAATAATTAACTGTACAAAGACATGTGTACTTAAAGGAAATCCGTGTCAAACACATTCGAGGTTGATCGCACATCACGTGATACACACTCGAAAATTGGAAAACAATGTCTGATAAAAAAAAATCGTAGAATCGCGCACGTGTAAGAGCCGAACGTGTACACGTGTTCCGAAAAACGCGGACAAAACGAGCAACAAACGGTACACGGTCGGGACCAGTGGCGCAACTAGGATGTTGGGGCCCAGATGATAAGGTAAGTCTGAGGGTCTCTACAGCTGTTTGGACAATTATTTCTTTTCAAGAACACTCGCTACTTACTCATCTAAATCTTACGCACTACTCGATTGTTTCGCGTTAAAAATGCCCTCTTTACGTCAACGGCGAGGCACCGATGATCGCTATCCGACCCGGTTGTTGAGCGCCACCGTCAGGGCTGACGAGAACTTTAGAGGGCTCCGGGGCTGATCGGTTCCAGGCTCTTTTTACTCACACATGTTTGGCCGATACGTGCGTACCTACTACTTGTACACGCTTTGGTGTACAACGTAAATATTTAAACTAGCGTCTTAAGCCGCGGCGAACGAGATTGCAAAACAGTTTTTGTATAAAATGCCGAGACGACGGGCCCCGGGGCTGCAGCGCTCCCCGCCCCGCCGTCCGGCCGATCCTGGACACCGTGCAACAACAACAACGTCAAGAAACCAGTGGAGTTACCTTTGCGCGGGCCCAGCAGGGCTTGCGCGACGACGATCAACAAGACCAACAGCGACCGCTTCATCATCGTTTTCTCGAGCCGGTCATTTCCGTCCGGGGAAACGGTACGCGACCGATCGGCGGTCGACGGGGGTAGTGCGCGGGCGGTCTCGCGGATCACTGGGGCGGCGGCAGCGGGCGGTGGCGGCTGCGGCGGCGACGGCGGCGGCGACGGTTTTCGGGTTTCGGCGGACGGCCGGGCATGGCGCGAACCGGCGCCCGGACGGTCGCGCGAGATCGGGGCGTCGGCGATCTCGCGGGGGTCGATTGGGTACGCGCCGTTCGAAACGGTCGCACCGCGTCCCGGTCGGCGGTCGTACGCGAACAGCGGTCCGCAAGGTTAGTAAGACGCGCACGGCCTCAGTGGTCACACCGGTCCGTGTTGTCGTCCGTTCTACCGTGTCGCGTCAAAGGTCGCGTCCGTGTCGCGTCGGCGGCGGTCGCGTCCGTATTGCCGTCCGTTCTTCCGTGTCGCGTCGGCTGCGGTCGCGTGTGAACCGAACGCGTTCGCGTGCACGTACTCCCGTGTACCGTACGCGTACGGCGGTACGTCGTTTTCGTTGTTTCCCCCGCCGCGCGCGTCTAAAAACACATTTCTCGTCGGCGGCGGTGGGGGCGAACGAGCGCGCCGCATGATTCACCACGTCGCCATGTGCGCGCGTGTGCGGTTCGTCGATGACGACTGATGCCCCCCCCCCACCCCCCACCCCATACAGTCGCCGGCCGTACCCGTCGGAGTTGACGGGAAAACTATAAAAACCCGTCGCCGCCGACGGGACGACGGACGTTGGCCGGGGGTGACTCACACCGCCCGGCGGTAAACGATCGCAACCCCCTGCCACAGGGGTTTTAGCGGTTTTCCGCGCGCGATGATTCATCGTCCGTCCGGTTTCCGGGACCCCGCGGTAGTCGTGATCCGCGTTTACCTATCGTCAGGTTGCGTTCAGGTGCGATCGTTGCGACGGGCCGAAAAAAATGACCGGCCGAAGGAAATCCGAATGAAACGTACCACCACTCGAATGCCGTGAAAACGGTACGGATCGGCACGTAAACATTGTTCCGGACCGAGTCTGTAGCAATGTTTCTCGGGTCGGCGGAAGAGACGCGAAAACATTATTATTGCAAACGTGATACGTATGTAACGTAATTTTTTCAGCAGTCAAACGATAGTGAAAGGATATCGAATACCTCGTAAGAACCTATCTAGACGTTTTTATACAACACTACCTAAAAGTTAAATTTTTATTAAAATTTACCCGATCCTTAAGTGAGTTTGTACTTATTCAAGAATTGAAAAAGTTCTCTCGAGAGGGGCTGCCGAGACGAGTAGTGTACACAAGATATTCGTTTCAAAATCACGCGATAAGTTAATATGCTATTTATACATTATACAGATAAGAGCTGGTTGCGGAAAAACTTTTATTCGATTTCAGGACGTACCCCGTTCTTAACTTTTTTTTTTTCAATACCGAATGAATTATATATACATTATTCAAGTATAATATAATTGTAGAAACTTCCCGTGGTAGGAATATACCCCTATCCACCGTCGTATATACGCCACTGCACACGGCACCCGTAAATTAATTTCTAGAAAAATATCATTATTAAACTTCGTGTACAGAGTGAAAAATATAATGGTCCTATAACTACAATGTACAGATCATTTTATATAAATATGTACGTATTTATGTGCATTTTTAATTAAAAAGTATAAAAAAATAAATACAATTCTCGAATCCATCGAGTTGAATTACGATATTTTATGATGCCGAATAAATTATTTAATATAACACAATTATCTTTGTTTCCCCTTCCCACCAATACCCCACGAATAAATGCGTGCAACATACAACAACAGCTAACGCTGCCCCTATTTTTAAATTTATATACATTTTATTTATACTTTAAGTAGTTAATTCCGTATAATAAATATAGATCTACCGTGTTAGCCATTAGACATAAATATAAATACGCACGCATATAAAATACAAAGCGTGTATCTTCGTTGGCGATCATACATCACAGTGTTGTATATATACCATTACATAGATGTATATACCCCCCCCCCCAAAAAAAAAAAAAAAAAAAAAAACAACGTAACTATCATGGAAACGTAATAATAAACGAGTATATTACCAAACTAAATGAGTTTTAAATTGTTTAAATGGAAATAGAAATTATGTATGAACACTGCAATATGTAATATAGTTTATAAGTATCAATAAACATATTAAATTTTTAGATTTAATAAATGTTTCTGAAGACTGACGAATGACTCTCTTTCTAAGTATTAAGACATATTAAACGAGCTAAAATTATTTCGAAGTTTTGATCCGTGCTTATTGTACAAAAAAAAAACCATACCGTTAAAAAATAAAACGTATAATGTAATGGTGTTTTAAAACTAATACATTATTTATTTTGATTATTTTAAAAGTTAAAACATATTGGTTTTCTTTTTTTCTTTTTAGCTTTTATTAATAAATCAGTTGGTCCATTGTGAAACACTCACAAATTAAATCGAAGGAGATAACAATAAAAAACCGAACCTTTCCAACGTTTTATAGGATCGAAAATACGACACTTACCTAAAATTTGGCGCAACAATTGCAAATTTACATAAAAATTATCAATAAGTTCTAATAAATAGTGAAACACATTTAAATTGTTTCGACAGTTTTGTTACGAACTTTGCGTTCGATAATGGAAAACTTATTCGGACCGGGTTCAAAATTCTTACATCTCTGCAATTGCGAGGACCTACCCGGAGAAGGTAACGCGGAGAGACGCGGTTATAAAGTATCCTGAGAGTGTAAGGTTTTGATCATGAGGAGATCGTCTAGGGTAGATAATGGATCTTCGGTCACGATTATAAATATTAGAAAGTTAACATAATCGAGCGTGACGAGAAGCAGTACGGTTATGCGATAATATTCTTTGAAAACCGATTAAGGCGAACGTTTCGTTCGTTCGATGGTCATACATTGGTGCATAAGTCTCGTACGCCATCGTTGAAATATGGCCCGGTGTATTCGAATTAATTGTCACCGAAAACAGCTATCGTACATACGGCATTTTAATTAAACATATCGACGAACGATATAATGCCACATGTTCGAAAACCTTTCGACTTGGAGTAAACTTTAATATTTAACTTTTGTTTGGCGCAGCATATTTTACCGCCACTAGCATTCGTAATCCAACAAATGTTTACTGTTTGCAGGAGAGAACTGCAGCAGTGTCTCTCTCTCTCTCTCTTTTTATCTGTCTCTCGTCGTATACAAGCCGCGGCCCAAAACTTTGACTATAACTTTGCTCTTTACATATTATAATATGTAATATAAATGAACACGTAAATCTGTTCCCCTTTCATAATGCAGTTTTATTCGAGAAATTTATAATTCATCAAAATATAAAGGCGCCGATTTAAATTAATTAACACCGTATGTGCGTGTGCATTCATGTTGTTCGAGCACGTATATGTACCCGTAGATATTGTGTACCTAACCTACGTGCACTTTGTCGCAATGCTTTCACAGTTGTTATAATATATTTTAGTAATAAAATATTATACACCGTACATTGTATCGAGCACACACCATAATAAGAAACTGCTGGCTATATTTTTTACGACTTATCTTGCGCAACAATGGTTTCTCGCTGTATCTGCACTTCCGCATGTCTTGCGATATCAATAGAATGTAAATAATTAATTTTTGTTTTGAATTTTCGTTACGTTTTTGCGAACCGTTTTCCATAAAGTGATTTTAACGATTTCTCACCATTCGGAGAGAGAAAAATGCCCTCGCTTAACGTTTCTCCCTCGGCGCACCGAGTACTGACCGCTACGATCCTTCGCAATGGACAGATACCCAGATACACTTTTAATTCAATGCTCATTAACTATAGAAATAATTAGGGTGCGGAGTTGTATGTTTTTAAAACTAAAATATATGTGTATATTTTTTTACAATATATATAAAATAAAACAATTTAATTTTTAGTAAAATCTTTAAACTAGGTGGTGAACAATAACACATTTAAAATATACGTTTGATCATTAATTATAATATTATTATTGAATCATGCATTAAATTATAAACTTTTTAAATTTATCGAAGTAAATGACCCTTCTCGTCAACAAAATGATGTTCTTTTTAAGTTTTCAAAAGGAAATCGACGTCAATTGGGCCGCAATGCGTTCTTGTAGTGGCTAAAACACCTTTCCATGTCAACAGGAGTCATAGGTGCAAATTTGAAGACTCTTAATTCGATAGAACTGAGGCGAGCCTTACCATGCACTATTAGTGCAGTCGGTTATTTCTAGTAGACAACAACGATTTTTTTTTTCAAATTAGAGAAATATTTAACAAAAATATGTCATTAAAGTAAAAATATTTAGTATTAACCGTGTTTTAAAACATTCAGATACTCCTGAAACATACTTTTATATAAGAATAATTCGATTACAATCAATCGTGACAAAAATGTATATCTATACATACAAATCCGCACACTTGTATCAATTATTATTTTCAGTGGTTCGAGATTTAAAAATAAAAATTTATCAGTTTTTATAATCATAAGGGTGTCCTAATTATAATAAAAAAATGTTGTGTGTATTCGGGGTCAAAATGTATTTTTATAGGTTTTACGAAGCATCTACGTTAAAACAACTTTAACTGGAGAATAAATCCATCTTAAATTCATTTGATTATTCTATTGGTTTTGTTTTTCGTTTCCCGAAGCTTCTGATAATCGTCTAACTTTTAATATGCACAGAGTTCTGTTTTAATTTCAGTGACTGTTTCATAATTATCTCAACGATCAGAAATTATTACTTCTTTAATATTTTCGAATTTCATATTTTACTCGAGTGCGCGCACGTGATAGCAGTACAAATATTGATCATTACGTTTATTTCAGTGAATCGTTGTTAAGTCCAGCGTTCATTAAAAATGTTTGATGTATTCGAGACGTCAACCTATCGTATTTGATGAGAATAACAAAAATTAAAACATAAAACGTTGAAAGAATACCAAAACTGTATAGGTTTGAATTTTTATCGTCACTATTTTCAATTTAATGGAAAAATTTCGAACGGCTTTATATCATTGCGCTTACGTGATAGTTGTGTATGTAGAAAAAGAATATCATCCGCAACAATTTTCCAAAATGCTCAATATATTTTTATTTTCACTAAAATTTTAACATTATTTTCTGAACATATTGGCATAGTTTTTGAAAAGTAATATTCGTGTGTCCGTCGTTGAATGTATCTGTGCTAAACGGTTTGAAAAATCTCAATTCTTTGTATCGAATATAGTTGACTTAAAATTCAAACGATGTTTGATTTTATGAACGTTCACGAAAAAATAGTCGGAGAAAATAAAAATATCTGTTTATCGCTATTGTTATTATAAAACTCCAACGTAGTGAACAATCGCTTCCAATTAGAACCAATTCGGTTTATGATTATGTGCAAACAATAATTCAAAACGATCATAATGTCTTTAGCCACATTTATACTAATATATTCGCTA